GAGGGAGGGAGGGAGGGAGGGAGGGAGGGAGAGGGAGAGAGAGAGAGAGAGAGAGAGAGAGAGAGAGAGAGAGAGAGAGAGAGAGAGAGAGAGAGAGAGAGAGAACATGTATGCGGTTGACCACAGAGTCCAGAAGAGGGCATCAGATGCCCTGGGGCTAGAATTACAGCTGGCTCTGTTGGGTGCTGGGAACAGAACCCGGGCCCCTATGTGAGCAGCATGTACTCTTACCCGCTGATCCACCCCTCCAGCACCCACTCCATTGTCCCTGAAGAACCTGGTTCCTCACCCAGGTTGGGGGGCAGCTGGTTTGAAAGCACCGTTCAAGGCGGCTCTCTCCTGCTCCTCTTGCTGGAATGTCTCGCCGCTCTGCCTCAGTGACTCCACACAGGGTTTTCTTTCTTCCTCTCTGCCCGGGTCGCCTGCGTAGGGCGTACAGTTTGAACCATCTTGACTTCCCCGCTCTGTCTGACCTCCTCTCCGCGCACCGACTTCCGCAGTGAACCCAGACACTGCTCTCGTTTCAACTTGGGGGGGAGGGGGGCTCTCCCCACCTGCGCTTCCAGCTCTGACTTCTAGTGGTTTCGAGAAGCTCCTCCCTCCGTGGATGTCCTACCGGTAGTCACATTAAACTCCCAGAACCCAAAATACGGCTAATTACGCTCTCCGGGTTAACTGTAATTTTTGTACGTTGGCACTCGGTGTGGCTCGGATAACAGATACTTAGTGCGCTCTCACACAAACTGGCTCCCCTTCCCCACACCTGTACCTAGTGGTGGTACACTCTCATGCTCCGTCACCCAGCTTTTCCCTGGAATCTGCCCACCAGCCACCCTGCTCCCTTCTCTAACTCCGAGGCTAGCAAACATCCCTTTTGGTTTTGGATGTTTGAAACAGGGTCTCACTCTAGAGCCCAGGCCGGCCTTGAACTTGAGCTCCTCCTGCCTCAGCTTCCTGAATAATTGTTATAGGGATTGTAGGGATAGTCCCAGCCTTGCTGTTTGCTTGCCGAGCCCTCCTGCACCACTAAGCCACACCCAACCCCTTGTCAAGTTTTACAGAACAACAGATCTCCCTGCAGGGCTCCTTTAAGTCCCAAGTTCTGTCAAAAACAAAAAAGAAAACTTCAGTTCAAAGATGGACCAGGTACCAATCTGCCCATTCCAGGGTCAGTAGACTCCCAGAGTACAGATGACCATTTCACAAGCACAGGTCCCCAGAATGACCTGTACAGGACGATGTTGCTGGGATTCCCTGCTGTTGACAAGGGCCAGCGAGAAGACATGGCGTCCATCCCTCTCGTGGAGTTCAGTTGTTCACGGTCGCACTTGCTGGGTGTACCTGAAGAGTGGAGGTCTAACTGTGCACCCTATTCCAGAATAACGGAGGCAAGCCCCTTGTTTCCAGAAGACTGGTATCAGTTCGTTCTAAGGCACGTGGAGCGTTTTCACTCAGAGGAAAAGTCAGGTGTACTGGAAGAAATCACAAAGGATAAAGCTTTAAAAGCCGTGTATGTCCATACAGTGATGGCGTGTTGTATTGGTTTATTTAGAATAGACAACATGGTGCCTAGTCCTGGTCAAATAGTAAGAGTCTACAATGGTGGCTTACCCTGCTCTGGCACCTTGGATTGGCTCTCAGAAAAACCGGAACTGTTCCAACTAGTTCAGAAAGCATTCAGGTATACACTGAAACTAATGGTTGATAAAGCAAGTTTGGGTCTGATAGAAGACTTTAAAGAACTGATCAACTGCCTCAGAGAATACTAGAGGGACTGGTGCATTGGTTTAGTGTCTGAAGAGCCGTGGAAAGAAACAATTCTAGAAGAAAAGCCATGCTTGTTTTCCCTGGGCTATGAGTATAGTATGATACTGCTGGTTATGAAAAAGATGTGACTTATAGACCAGTCCTGAATGGGAAGTAAAAAAAAAAAAAGAAAGAAAGAAAAGAAAAGAAAAAGACAATTACTAGTTTTGAATACTTTACATTGGATTGGATTGTTTTATATTGTATACAAAATATATATATATTGAAATTGATATTGTTAGAAAATGCTATATGTATATTTCTAACTGTATTTATACCATTCATTTAACAATGTAATACAATTTTCTGATCCTTGAATGTTATTATTACCAACTATTAGGATATAAAGAAATGAAAGTTAGTAGTTAGACATTATAATAGAACTTGTAGTTATATTAGGTATGTTTTTAAGATTGAGTAGATATATTTTAGATAGACAGGTTATCTTCAAACCCTTCAGAGATCTACAGAATATGGCATTTAAAATGTTTTAATAACTTAGAAAATTTTTCTTTTTTGTTATGACTATGAGACATGTCGGCTCCTAGCAGTACCAATCTACTTCAGAGAAAATATGGGCATTGAAGAAACTGCAATTGGAGTTAACTTTCATTGTGGCAAAAGTTAGCCACTGGACAACAAAGTATCCTCGAATCAACTGCTGACAAACAGGACAGACAGGACATGAAACAAAGGACTACTGATTCTTGTAAAAACAAGTGTGGTTATGGCTTTATCAAAAGGCATGTTCTGAGGCCAGGACAATATGGCACCATCCCTGAAGTGGCCTTCACAATCCAGAAAAGGTACAGTGCCCTTTTCTTCGAAGGCAGCTGAACAGGCAGTGGGCCGATGGTTTCTGATGTGCAGTGGAACAGCAGCTGAAACAGTTATTCTTGAAGAGTAACTAAGCTCATGCCTCTCAATAGTAGAATGGCGTTTAATAGAGGGATGTGGAGAAGAACGGGATGCTGAGATGAAGCCACATACACACATAGCCAAGAAGAATGGACAGCTGAATTCAAAAAACATCAACAATTTCTAGAATTTAAAATCCTGAATCATGACATGACACTAGTGGAATTCAGGTGTTTCTGGTACATGGACCGCTCTCACCCAATGTGAGGTTGAACTGTTGACCTTGTGTACATCCTACTTCACAAATGAGTCGGTCAGATACGCTAAGCCTATAGGCTGAAGATGATGCCCCAACACTGCGGAGAAACCTCAGATGACTGTCCAGGCAGCTGGCTGTTTCTGTCAACTCACAAATTTTTGGAAGTTGCTTGCATGTACTTCCTGTTTTTACTTTTGTTAGCTAATATTATTTCCTTCTTGGGTCTCTGAGGGAGTTGAAGATTAGTTAGTTATAGTTGAAGATTAATTAGGATAGAAAGTGAATTAGATACAATAGGATAGATAATGGAATTATTTTCTCTGAATTTGTCAAATACAAATGGACTAGACATTGTTTAGTTATTTATTACTTGTATATATTGTATATAGTTATTGTACTTTTGTATATAGTTTTTCTTATGTTAGTTATAAGCTTTTTCCTTTTTATTAAAATAGAAAAGGGGAAATATGGTGATATTATATTTGTACTAAAATGTTATTTGTATGTTAATAAATAAAGTTGCCGGGGGTCAGAGCTATTAGCAAGCCATAGGAAAGCCAGGCGGTGGTAGTGCATGCCTTTAAGTCCAGCACTTGGTAGGCAGAGCTAGGTAGATCTCTGTATGTTCAGGGATATAGCCAGCATTGGAGACACACGCCTTTAATCTCAATACCAACCATAGAAGACCTGGAGGTCTATACAGACAGGCAGTGACGAGACGGTCATGTGGTTGGGTTTACAACCAATGAGAAGGCAGAACCGAAAGTCTTCATAAAGACTTTAACACAGGAAGTAGCTCTCTTTCGGAGAGGTAGGACCACCGCAGGAGGAAGGGTAAGGTTTTAGCTCTTAGCTCTGACCTCTTGGCTTTCTTCTTTGCATTGGTTCTGTGTTTCTTATTTAATAAGATGGTTGGTTACATCTACAGTCCCCAGTCCATAGAAGAGAGGGACCTGATGAGCAGGCCCGACCTCAGAGACTGGTAACAATCTTCACACCAGCACCCTGAAATTCCCACTCCTAACAAGTTCCCAAAACTCTGACACCCACATACTATCTCCAGGCTCCCCACTTCCTTCCTGACCTGCAGAGAAACAGCACAGAGTCAGACCACCACTCTGCCTGTCCACCTGGACGGCCAATGGCACCTTAAATCTCCCACCCCCACATTTCCCTCTACCAGAGGGCCCTGCCCATTTGCCAGCCTCACACGAACTCAGGTCTCTCCCTTCCTGGAAAGGACCAGCCCTAAACCGGCAGCTCCAGGCAGACTGTCGTCGTTGGTGTCTCCAGGCTTTCCTTTACAGGCCCTGATGACAAGGACAGTGGCCGATCATAAAGCTGAGGTTGATTGACAGTAGTAAATTGGACGTGGTGTGTTCCTGCTGCGTTGTGGTAGCCCCTGTGACTAGCTAGCACAGTCACCGTACCCTAATTAGGGTTCCTGCTTGAAGCAAGGGTCTGGGAGAGCTTACCAGAGAACAACTGGTTGGCAGGGAACCTTTTTAATACAATTACCGGTGATGTCAGAGGAACAAGCTTGTGCTCTTTTTTTTGGTTTTGCTCTTTGTTTTTGAGGTAAGATACCTAGCCCAGACTGGCCTCCTCGAATTTCACGGTCCCCCTGCCCCCGCCCCCCTCCCACCTCCCTCTCTGCTACTAGAAGCCCAGAGAGGGACCTAATGAGGGTGGAGAGGGGACTCCACCCATTTGGTAAAGAGTTGAAATGGATGCAGTTCACTGGGGAAAAACATAAACACAGAGCACACCAGACCCTTTTAACAGGGAGGCGTGGGGGTGCGGGGGAGCAGGCTGATTAAAGATGACACCCGGGGCCAAGCCAGAAGACGTGCGGGCTCCCCTAGACACGTTTGCTGGAGAAGTTTTGGAGGATCATTCAAAGGAGGCCGTACTGGGCCCGCAGCAGCCCGTTCAAGAACTGGCTTGCACAGACAGGCAAAGCCCAGGCAGGCGCCCTGGCCTGGGGCCTGGGGCTGCCGGGCCGTGCAGGAGGCCGGGCTCGGGTGAGCCGCACTACCACCAGCCGCCGGCAGGTGTCGCTTCCCGGGCCCCGGAATCCACCGTGAGTTCAGCAAATGGAGGAGGCCGGGACGCGGGCAGAGAAACGGATTTCCTGGCCCGGGAACATCCTGGCTCTTGTTTCGGGGGTTGCGGGGGAGGGGGGAGTGTTTTTGTTTTTAAATCAGATACTTACAGGTCATTTACTGGGTGTCAGGCCCTGCAGGAGTGATTGAGTGTTCACGCAGGGACTCAGGTCCTGTCCCGGTCACCCTGACCTCAAAAGCAAGGAGGCTTTTTTTAGGCAGCCACATGATTTCTGATGCCCAGTGCTTGAACACTCAAGTTTGGGGAAGAAAACGCCCCAGCTCTCGAGCCAAGCAAGGACCTTTGTCTCTAGTTATAAGGTAAGAGGGGCTTTGCATTTCTTTAAACCCTCTTGTTCCCGGTGGCTTTAAAATCTTCACCGAGGGCTGAGTTTGCGCTGTGCTGGGGATGCAGCAGACAAAATCAGTCTTTAAGACCTTGGCTCCTAGGGGCCGCAACACGCAGATGACCGTGTAAGCGAGGGCATCCTAGCCTAATGTTGGCCCGACAGGCATTTTCACCCTACTGATGGCAGGGCCTAAGAAGGAGCCCGGAGCCTAGGGCAAGACCCAAACCCAGACCCAAGTGTCTAAGGGACAGGGTCCTGTGTGAAAGCCACTACTTGGGGCTAATGCTCAGAGGGGAACATCACGTTGGCCTTCCACCCAAGGGCAGAGGTGATAGAGGCATTCTGACCCCTGACCACTGAGCCTGATCCCTTACAAATTCATTCTGGACTGCCCCTGGGAGCCACCTTCTACTGTATATTTAACTTCTGCGAATCTGTATCCCAGAGTCTGGCTGAAGTTAGAAAGGGTGCACCCCAGCGCTACCTCTATGTAGTCCAGTTTCTGTTTATCTGTTGCTTGGTTTTAGGTTGTCTGTCTTTCATGCACTGAAATTGTTTGGGCTTTTTCTTTTCCTTTGTATTTTGAAATGTTTTAAAAATTCAGAATTCCAGGAAAGACTTTATATATACATATACATACATACATACATACATACATACATGTGTGTGTGTGTGTGTGTGTGTGTGTGTGTGTGTGTTTTACTCAATAGGCTAACAGAACACTAGCCATGTGGTTCCAACCTCTGGGGGTTTTAGTCTGCAAAAATCTCATCATACAACCAGAGAAATTATCACAAATTCCCACACCACACTTTGGGGCTGCATCTTGGCTCTTGGCCCGTTTGGAGAGGGTAGGAATGAGGCTAAGCTCGAGATGAGAGCTAAAAGCTGCCCAGCTTCCCACTCTGTTGGGTTTTGGCCCCTTTTCTCTGAATGGGGAAACAGAGTCCTCAATAAGCACCTTTATCTCTATCTGATAAATAAAACAATACAGGCCAGCAAGACGGCTCTGCCGAGAAGGACACTTGCTGCAAGCCTGATGACGTGATGCCGTCCCTGGAACCAACCTAGTGGAAGGAGAGGACTTCTTCTACAAGCTCTCCTCTGAGCTACACACACACACACACACTAAACAAATAAGTGTTTCAAAATATTTTATTTATTTTATTTATTTTTTTTTTTTTTTTGGTTTTCCAGACAGGGTTTCTCTATGTAGCTTTGGTGCCTGTCCTGGATCTTGCTCTGTAGACCAGGCTGGCCTCGAACTCACAGAGATCCGCCTGCCTCTGCCTCCGGACTGCTGGGATTAAAGGCGTGCGCCACCACGGCCTGGCTTTAAAATATTTTAAAAGCATACAAAACTCTATATTCAGTGTTCTCTGAACCGTGTGTCCTTTTTCTTAGTGCCCTTCTCAAAAGAAGTTCTGCCTTATAGAAAAAAACTACCCCACCACACACCTGTAATCCTAACACACCAGAGGCGGAGGCAGGAGGATTGCAAAGCCATGTTGTCCCTGCTAGGAACCGGAAGCTTCTAGAAACAAAGTTGCTGCCTGTGGTGGTGAGGTCTTCACTGTACTTGCTCCATCCCAGTTTCCCCTCAACAAATGATTTGGATGGATTTAGAATATTAATCTATTAAATCCTATCATATTATACTTGTTAAATTGTTCCAGTCTCTTAAAAGAATTTGGAGCTGGGTGTGGTAGCACATTCCTGAAATCCAGGCAGGAAGGTCACCAGTTCCAAAGCAGCCTGGCATACATACACAGTAAGACCCAATCTCAAAAGAAAAAAAAGATTAAAGCAATTTTCAAGAAGATGTAGAAACCCAGGTCTGACAACCTAACAGATGACATATTCCCTTTGTATCTGCCACTGATTCTTCAGCGTGTGTGGCAGTTTGAACGAGACATGTCCCCCACAGGCTCATTATTTGGACACTTGGTGCCCCGTAGGTGGCGCTGTTTGAGGCTATAGAACTTTCAGGAAGTGGAGCTTTTGCTGGAGGAAGTATGTCACTGGGGATGGGCTTTGAGGGCGACTATTCTCGCTCCACTTCCTGTTTGCTCTCTCTGTTTCCTGTTTGCTGTTGAACATATGATCTCTCAGCTTCCTACTCTGGTCACCTGCCAAGCTTCCCCCACCGTTATGGATTCTCCTTCTGGAACCACGAGCCTAAATAAGCTCTTTGTTTCGTAAGTGGCTTTTGGTCGTGGTGTTTTGTCACGGCAGCAGATACAGTGCACTCTTTATAACAATGTTGTCTGGAGTGAAGCTGGAGATCGAGCCTTATACCAAGCAGCAGAGCCCTCCGTGGAATCTGGGATGAGCAACACTTCCGAGAAGCCATGATTCATCTTGCAAATCACTCTTGGTGTCCCATCTGTGAAGAGGCCCCAAAATAGCTTGACCACACGGCAGCCATGACAGGCTTAGGGGCCTAGACACAGCCTCTGTGACAGGCTTACTGGCAGACAACACCCAGATCCAGGAAAAGCCTCCAGCTGATACCACCCAAGGACCCACCCAGGGGTGAGGAAGTACCTGACATCCCAAACATTCCAACCATTAGATAAGGTGGCCAGATGTCTTTGAGTCTAGCACACACCTATTTTTTGTTTTACAGATACCCCAACTTCTGCTATGATAAAAACTCTGCCCCACCTGAGCTCGGGGCTCTCTGCTCTCACCGCTGTGTCGGACAGACAGAGGGACCAAGCTCTGGAGCTTGAAATAAAGGCTCTTTGCTTTTCCATGCGAGATTCGGTCTCTGTGGTGGTCTTTTGGGGGTTCCCGAGGTCTGGGCATAACACCATCACGTCTCCTACATCTCTGCGTTATCAACAAGTGCTCCACACCTGACTTCTGTCTAGCTGTCATTGAAATCTCTGCACTGCCTTGGCCTTCCACCCCGTTCTGTATGTTTAAACAGTGGAGTTTAGTTCACTTATGTCTCGTGTTTTTACCTGCTGCTCTTTCACCAATCCTGGATTTTCCATCCCACCCCAGAAGTCAACATCGGCCACTAGCCACACCTAGAAGCTGGCCTCCTTTTGACTGTGTGACAGATTCCCAAGTGAATTACACATGTTCCTGGAAATGTGTTAGTCAGGACCATCTGGATCATATTTTCAGTGTACACTCAACTGCTCAGCCACGCAGTTGCTACAGGTATTGATCACCCCTTCCCCCAGCCAGGTACCTCCAGAATGAAGAGTCTTTTTGTAATACAAATGTAATGCTCTCTGGGCTGGAGACTGGCTCAGTGGTTAAGGGCACACACTTCTCTTGCAGAGGACCAAGTTCGATGCCCCAGCACCCACATGTGGCAGCTCACTACTGCCTGTAACTCCAACTCCAGGTAATCTGATGCCCCTTTGACCTCCAACCGTACACGCAACCACACACACACACACACACACACACACACACACACACACACACACACACTGGCACTTGCACGCAAAGAAGTTACTTTTTGAATATTATTTAATTAAAATAAATGAAAATGGTTTTTAAAATGTAATGCTTTCTGACATGGACTTCTGTTCATCTCTTCTGTTTGCTCAAATGTACCATACACCTTAAAACACAGTTCTAACAAACTAGAGCTGCTGTGAGTTAAACACCAATAAATCCAAAGCCTAGGTTGGACATGATGGCCTTCTGCCTGGGAATTCCTTAACCGTCTACCTTCAGATTCAGAAAAATAAATAGGCTTTCTCTCTCTCTCTGCATGTGTGTGTGTGCGCATGCATGTGAATGTGCACGCCACTGCATGGGTGTGGAGGTCAGAGGACAACCTTGGGTGTTGGCCCTCCCCTCCACCTTGTGTGTTGTTTTCGTGCGGCATATACCAGACATGCTGGCCTGCAGGCTCCCGGGGATTCTCCTGTCTCGGCTCCTCACTCACTTCCCCATCAGAATACTAGTATTACAGATGCTTGTCCCATTCATCCATCTCTGTGTGGGTTCTGGGGATTTGAACACAAACTGCTTTTACACACTGAGTCAGTTCCCCAGGCTTTTTTTTTTTAAACATAATTTCTTTATTGAATTTTTGGGATTTCACATCATGCACCCCAACTCTGCTCACTTCCCAGCCTCTCCATATCCTCTCCTCCCCACTGCAGCACCACCCAAAGGAAAATTAAAAAAAAAAATCAAACCCAAGCAAACAAGCAAAAAGAAAAGGAAAAACAAAACAACCCCTTCACCCCTCCACCTCTCCCTGTCTCCAATCCTCTTCACTCATCCTGGTGCTTCACTTGCCAATGTTCATTGCAGTGAGTCACTGGTCTGGTTCAAGGCCTCTGGTTTCTGGTGCTCCATCATCACTGGATCCTCACCGGAACTCCTCTCGGGTATCCATCCCTTGGGTGCCTCCAGTCATGGAGATCCTGCTGGCATCATTTCACAGGACCAGTCCCTTCACGAGCTCCAGCAGGTCCTCCATGGGACAGATGTCGGGCTGTGGGCCTGGGTGGTAGTTGAGCTGGTCGGTCTGTGTCACTATGGCTGTCCATCTCAGGAAGGCAAGGGGCAGAGCCAGCTCCCCTGCACCATGCCATCAGGGTCAGTCCTCCCTTGCCCATGGTGGTGAGGAGCGGGGCCATCTCTCCCAAGTGGGGTGGGGTGGGGGGCTTGTTGGCAAACGGGGTCAGAAGCTGTGTGAGGGCAGGAGCCACGTTTGTCTCGCCCTGCACTCTGTCCTAGAGTCAACCACTGTAGGTACACTCCGTAGGGCAAGAGCCTCAGGAAACATTTCCTGACAGATAAATGAAAAATGTATGTGTGCACAAAGGCCACTCCATCTGTGATTCATAAAAGAAGTGCAGAGGAGCAAATACAGACCCAGTCAGTGCCTTCTGGGAGGGAATGTGAGGGCAGAGGTTGAAACGCCATCTGAATTAATCGGCTCTCCATTACTGTAGCAAATACTTGAGATAAAGAGTTACCGAGAGAGGGGTTTATTTCAGCTCACTGTTGAGTTGACTCTTTGCTGGTTGGGCCCATGACCGGGGCCTGGGCTAAGGCAGAACATTAGAAATGGACTGTGTGGAGCAGGGCTCACACAGAAGCAACCTGGAAAGAGAAAGAGAAGGAAACAGAAAAGGGCTGGTATACCAGCATCCCCTTCGAGGGCACACTCTCAATCCTAACTTCCTCCCACGAGACCCCCTCTCTAAAGGACTCTCCCATCACCCTGTAGTGCCCCAGGCTGGCATTGAACCAAGGCCTGAGAGACGTTCAAGAGCCAAATTATAGCAGTACCCAAGGTATTGAAATCAGGTAACAGTCTTGATCAGCAGTTTTCAAACATTCCGATCTCAGCACCTCACACTTAAAACCTTTGAGAACCCCCAAGAGATTATTAACTGTCAATACTTACACAGAGAATAAAACAAAAATCAAAGATGTACTGACTTACTTAGAATAACCAATCAATCCTACATCAACATGACGTGTATTTTTTTTGTTTTTGTTTTTGAGACAGGGACTCACTGAGTAGCCCTGGCTGGCCTGGAACTCACAATGTAGACCTCAGGCAGGGGTCCTGGCTATGTCAAAGCCATCTGTCTGCTCTTGGGCTTGAAGAGACAGGCTGATTTTCATGTCATGCTTATGCCGAGCCAAGATAACCACTTCCGACCGACAGTTTGGGGGTTTGTTAGTCATTCCTTTGCTGCTTTGTAGCCTCTAGAGAAGAAATCTCATGATGCGGCCCTGGCTGGCCTTAACTCAGGAGCTTCCCGCCCCGGCCAGCCAAGTGCTGGGATTAGGTGTGCCACGGCACTTGGACTACCTGAAAGCTTGACCGTTTGATTGAGAAATGTCCCCCAGAGGCTCAGGAATTTGAACACTTGGTGCTCAGTTGGGCGTGCTATTTGGGGCGGTGGGGCGGCCTTGTTGGAGGAAGTATCACTGGAGGAGCTGTGGGGGTCCATAGCTTAGCCCACTTCCGGTCTGCTCTTAGCTTCCTACTTTTTCTGCTATGCCTCCCGACCACAGGGGATTCTGATCCCTCTGGACCTGTGGGCCGAAGTCTTTCCTTCATTTGCTCATGGTGCTGTATCATGGCAACAGATCCAGATGTACCTGAGACACAACACAGCCCCAAGCACCCACCAGGAGTTTTACTGCCATTTCTCAATACCGTGGAGTTCACTGAGGACCGCACGCATGCCAGGCAAGGTCTCTATCACTGAGCCACAGCCCTAGCTGCCTCTCCTTGTTATTTTGAGAGAGGGTCTCACTAAGTTTCCCAGGCTGGCCTTGAACTCCCTCTGTAGCCCACACAGGCGCTGAACTTGCAGGCCTTTGCCTCAGCCTCCCAAATGGCTGGGAGTTACAGGTCTGTGCCACCAGGGCTAGTCTGCGGCGAGGTCTTCATAGCCACTCCCTCACAGAATTCTGGAAGGCTTTGCAGGATCTGAACACACAGTATCCACCCTCAGAAGGCTTCCACAGGAGGCACAGGCACCACCACTCTATGCCAGGCCAGCCGGATTAGAAAGCAGCATCTGCGGGAGCTTGCCAGCCCCAGAGGGCGAGCACATAGTTCACCGCAGTTAGCAATTGCCTCGGCAGTATTTACTGAGGGCACATACCCGGGCGCTTGAGTGACAGGAGCCCCCAGGTTGCCAGGGAGGAGGCTGGTAATTTTGCTTCTAAGCATCAGCTGCTTCTCCCTCTAGGCAGCACTCCCGAGAGTCGTGACCCTCCAGGGCTGGTGGAGCCACTGACTTTGAAGAGGGCCATTTTGAACAGCTGGAAACAATATGCAGCGTGGAAGAGGAAGTCGCCCAGAGGACTGGCTTTCCTCCTTCGCTGTTTCAGAGGTGGGAAGACGGTGGGTGTAGTGGACTACGACCACGGAGAAGCGTATACCTCTCCACCCAGGCAGCCGGGTGATGGGCCTCGGTTTTCACAGCTGCAAAATGAAGAGCTCAGGTGCCACCGTCTTTCATGTCCCTTTCATCTACGGTCTCCGTGAGCTGTAAAGATTTACGTAGAACTCCGTCTTGATTTTATTATTCCTCGTTCATCATTTTCCGCCGGGGCCAGTGGCAGCCTGTGCATACGGGAGTAAGTGGTTCATGCTCCCTGGGATGATGGAAGAGGTGCTGAAAAACCAAAGGAGCTCCCCTAGCACTCTGCCACTGAGAGCCTGTAGCCCCACCCCCACACCCCCACATCCCCACCCCCATCCAGACAGGGCTGAAGGCATTGTCTCCACATGGTCTCAAGTTCCTAGGGCAGATAACTACATGGCCTGTGGTTCTTGTAGAGCCTTTCAGCCTCTGGGCACCCTGGGAATGAGAACAGCATCCAGAGAGACACAGCCACCCACCAGGCAAGGTGTAGGGCACAGGGCCCCACAGTGACAGATAGATAAGGAATCGGTGGGGTACACAGGGCAGTCACCAGCACAGAGAGCAGCGAGTGCTAGGCGGGAGAGTGGCCCTAAGTCTCTGCAGCTGCAGAAGGTATTACTCCACACTCTACACTGTGATGGTCTGAAAGAAAATGGCCCCCAAAGGGAGCGGCACTATTAGCAGGTGTGGCCTTGTTGGTATGGTATGTTTGTAGGTACGTTTTTGTTGAAGGAAGTTGTGTCTTCTGTGAGGGCGGGCTTTGAGGTTTCTCACGCTCAGGATACTGCCCAGTTGTCTCAGTCGGTTTCCTGAGGCCTGCAAGATGTAGGACTCTCAGGTACTTCTCCGTCGCCATGTCTGCCTGCACACTGCCATGCTCCC